CAAAAAAAGAAAAAAAAAGTTTTATATATATATATATATATATAAAATAAAAAAAGCTTAGCTGTTGCTCGGAAAATAATATAACATGTGCATATTGGTTGAGAGTTGAGAGACTAGAAATAATGACAATAATATTGAAAAAGTGGGCCAAGAATGAATATGAACCGAAGCATGACAAAATGGTCAAACAAGGCTATAAATACAACCAAGGTTTGGCGCGTTGGTGTGTTGGCGAGGGCATCAGTTTTTGGTCTACCAATCTGATGACAGTGATTTTTCTTTCATTAAATAGCACGCGGAAAACCAGGTCCTTGACAGTGGGATTGGATTCCTTCCAGCGCGTTGGTGGTGTTATGCTTCTTCTTCATCCACACCTTTTTTAAAAAAATAAACATGCAATGCAAGCAGAAGCTCTCATCTCATCTCTCTCACGGCATTGGCTTTAGGGAAATAAACTTGTATATTTTGTCTGTCCTTTACACTCCCAGCTGGTCCCTGCAATTCCTGCAATTCATTATTCAGCCAAATGACCACTTTGCTGGCATCTGGCACTGGCAAGGGCTCTTCTTAACGCGCATGCCTCAGAATTTGATTATTTCTATCTGTCATTCTTTCTGTTTGCTCTAAATTCAAGCAATCGAGGTCAAAATAGCACTTTAAAATATGGTTCATTGGGCCAACCTTTTGTTTTATTGCAGAGTAAAAGTGGAAGGCCCAATGGGAAACACAAGTTAACGAGAATGCACGACATTGGGCCCAATAAAACAAGAATCGGTTGCAACATAAGTGGTGTGAAAATCCCTTGGTGAACGTATTCACTTTAAGATAAATCATTAGAAATCTTGTTGGAATCTTACAAATTACAGAATGTAAATTTTAGCCCACCCCATTTTGAAATCCTGAATCCGTTCCTGAAAGAGAAGATAGTAGAGGGGAGGGAAGGGGAGTAGTAAAGGGATGAAGGCCACTGACCCTGAATGGGGGCGTCTGTGGCTGAAACTTTTCTCACCTTAGGGTTTTCTCTCGAGGCTGGTGGCTAAAACTTTTCTCAAGGTCTCCCCAATGGGGTTGGAAAGGCTAGAATGATGAGCTAATTTGAGGAGGTTATTTGAGGAGGTGAAATCTCACCATCAATAACTAAAAACAAAGTACATGGGGGGGTGCATTGGGGGATCCACACCCCTTTTGATGGTGAGATGGGTCTCCTCACATAACCTCCTCAAATTAGCTCCTCATTATAGAAGCTCCCATCTACGGAAAGGCACAACCACCATAGGGCTGGACAAAATAGAGCCCATGCACAAAAACCCATCCCCAATAAAACATTTTGGGTCTCTAAAACCCCCAGTCCACCGGAGTGCAGCATTCATGTCCATAAATATATGGACTCGGCTACAGCTCACCTTGATGCAATAGGGCACCCCACTTCAGCTCCAGGCACCAGCAACTTGTTTTTAATTTTTTTTGAGCTAGTATTTATAGGAGTCTCCAGTCAAGTACCTTCGAATTAAACTGTAGAGGGAAATTGCAATAGTTAATATTAATTCAAATAATACTCGAGTATATATTCTGCAATCCAATCCGATGAAGTTATGGTTATTAGTTGAGTCAATATAAAGCAATGCTTAAACCAAGAAGAAAGGTTTATCATCAACTTACAGTCTTCCATCCTAACTTACAGTCTTCCATCCTAACTCACAGTTCAAGGTATGAAACTGCCAAACAAGAACCTCACCAACTCAGTCTTACATCCTACTCAAAAATATATGAACACGAACTTAATTCGCAATTACAACAATAAACGAACAGATCTGATGCTTGTCGTTTAGCCTGGTTATTTAATTGATTCAGCAGACTCACTAGTCTTGACCTCTCTGGGGCACTGGGATACATACGGTTTGAGCTGCAAGCAAGAAGAAGAAAAGTAATTCAGAACTACATGTATGCTTATAAGAGTGAGGGGTAGTTTGCTTAGTTAAAACTTCAAATGCATCAATTTAAGTAAGAATAGTTTGAAGTGTGCGATAGCAGAGCCGCAGCATGCATCTTCCAATTTCCATTTGGAACCTCTAATTTACAGATAAAAACTATAAACGCTAAATGCAACAAAAGAATGAAGAAGAAAGAAACAAAGAAATATGTTCACCTTGAAGTCAGTTAAATCAGGGACTACATAGTTAGGTAATTTCTCCTGCTGCACAACATACTTAGCTGCAAAAAATTTGGGCAATTTGGATATCATGTCAAGTAGTAATTCCTACCCTAAAAAAATTTGATTGAGACCCTTGTCAAAATTGCAAAAATGGAAATTGGGCAAACCTTTTCGGGTGTGGAAACCAATGGGCTTGCAATTCTTCCCCTTGTAGTAATCCCTTGGGGCACGTTTGGAGGAAAGAATGTCAAGTGATGATGTGCGCTTTCGACGAAATGCCCTTCCTAACCCTAGTATTAGTCCCAATGCCATTTCTTCACTTCTTCTAACAATGAATTAAATTAAAACCAATTATAAAACATGCTTGAAACCATAAATACATGCTATTTAATCAACAAAGATATCAGCGAGAGCGAGAGAGAGGCATTTCCTATTCAAAAAGGGCCAAGAAAACTGTGGTGAAACCAAGAATTTATCTCAAGACAATAAACGCCACGGTTTTAACATTGATACTTTCATTAAGGATGAAGACAATATTACCAAGTCATAACTACATTCAACAAGTTTTTATACCTCATTGTCTATACAATCCAGGTATGTTAGATTCTAAGAAAATATTAGCAGCATAGCATTTCTATGACATAACAAACTAATAAATATATAAATATATCCTAAGTTTTAACAAATTCACTCAATTTACCTTACACACTAATCCTATGGGAATAGGAAAAAGACATATGATTGCAATATCCTTGTCTTCATACTAATTCTTTAGCTATAACAATTACACAGTAAGTTAAACGTAACTCTCTGCTCGGGCATAACCTGTATCACTCAAACAGACACACAGACAAACACCTTCAGCTCATCCCCACAAGCAAGTAAACTTGTCCTGTTGATTTTATTTTTGATTCATGTCACTACGTACTGGCAATCAAATTACTGATAACATTCAAAGTTCTAACCAAGCCTGGACCCAATTCAAAAAAAACTTTGGTTTCCAAGGAAAAAAATCCAAAAAAGCTATGAGATTCAAGCATTTTCATTCCTAAGGGCAAGACCCAGTTCATGATTTTGGCTTAGGCTAAAGAAAGCCTCTTCATTTTCCCTCAAAGATTCATAGAGTAAACAATATTATTCAACAAATTTCACGAATCATGAGCAGATTAAACGAAAAAAATATAGAAAAAATGGCAATGATAGATAGCAGATGATACCTGAACAATGAGAAGTGAGGTTCTGATGTCGACGATGTCGTGCAGATGATGATTCTGGGTTTTGGGGTCTGGCTCTGTCACTGCAGAGGGTTTAGGGCTTTTCTGCTGAAAAATAATTGGGTAAAGCGAGCAAGTACATATGGGCCAAGGCCCATAACCCAGGTGGGTTGGGTTTGTTGGACTAAATGATTATACTATCAAAGAGACTTTCTTTTTCTTTTACTGTTTTTTTAATGGAAAAAAGATAAGGAGACTTTTAATGTCCTAATTTCAATTTAAAAAAAATACTAATGATGTTTTATTTTCTAAATGTAATGATTTTTTTGGTCGACAAGAATATAAAGGAAGTTTAGGAATCCAGCTTTTTCACAACAAATTTTGAACTCTTTGACATTCCAACTCATTTGAGAGAGCTGAAAGGGAAAAACAAATTCAAAAGGGTCAAATATTGAAGTCTTTTTCCAAAAATAAAAGAAGGTAAGAAAATAAGAGTGAATATGAAAATAAAATAAAAAGAATGTTATTGGCATATCATTTTGTGAGTTCGTTAGTTTAGAAGTAAACAATTTACTTCACATTCACGACAAGAGTTTGGCTCTCGCTCTTCTCCACTTTTTATTATTTAAATTCAACAATTGATATCTAACTTCTGATAAAACCCCCTTATTATTTTTTGTTGTTATAACAGGTTTGTGATAGATTAGAACCCATGATTATTCATACATCTTCTTTCCAAGGAAAAGGAAGAAGGCCTATAATCCTTTTTATTTTCATTCAATCACCAACTTCGAGAAAACTAAGCTTTTTCAAAAGTGAAGTAAAATTTCTGGTTCCTTTTTCACCGGTTTTCCAACGGGCACATCTCCCCAGACAGTAGTGACTGTGAATCAGATGGCAACACTGTTTTTCAACAGCATACTCATTCAGAGGACAAAAACCAGAGGACCACTTAACGAATTGCAGAGAAATGAAAGAGGCTTTAAGTGCTTTCAGTCTTAATGATGACTTGATCTTGAAGACAACAGGGCTTGTTTTGTTCCTAAAACATCCTTCTCTTCCTGCGTGGCCATAGTTCATTGTTGTGGACATCTTCCTCAATGTTCCAGAACAAAAAAATTTCCCCTAGATAGGAACCTCTGATGTTTTGTTATCGTTAACCCCCATCACAAGCTTTCAGTTTTTCCACCCCATGTCACATCTTCAAGCTCATCCAATTTAGCAATTAATCTTCCAACCCCACAGAGAAAAGGCCCTTAACTTTCACCCAACCAATAGGGTTCTTTTTGAAATTGAATGGCATTACCTAAACTAAAGTAATAAATTAATGAAAATAATAATCTAACTGTTCTGGAAAAAAAGTAGATATACTTCGGCTTTAAAGATTAAGTTAGTGTATGGACTCCTTGCCATTACCACAACTCATCTGCCTTTAAGCTCTCTTTCAAGACCAAAATTCTCGTCAAGTTCTTTGCAAGTACAAGCAGTTTATACCCGTGAACAAAAAAAAACACTTACATGTTCTCCGGTTCTCTTTTAAAGCCAAAATTCTCGTCAAGTTGTTTCCAAGTATGTGTATTCTAAAATCATGAACACAAAAAGCTTGTAATCATGAATTCATTATTCAATTAGTGATAAAGCATTTGGAAATTCCATCAAGTGCACCAATTTAGCAACAATTTATATCTCAAAGCAAAGATTTCAAAAGGATAATGCAAGTGAAAATGAGGATTACGAGGCTCGAATTGTTCCAATGGTGGGGTGCCCCATTTGCATGATTAATTTACATGGGACCCTTTTCTATTGCATGTCACAGCTGCACAGAAATCAAGGAAAGGTTTTTGGTGGTTTTATAGGGATCACCACACACTACTGTCATATGGGAAGGGAAAGGGCTTTTGGCTAGATTCCATAGGGCATTAACAGTCAAAGATGGATGACGCATAGGGCCCACCTCTGACATGAGCGAGACATGGAGGAGGAGCTAAGAGTCGCTGCAGCTTTTTGGTCTGTCTCTTTCCCACCTAAAGTGAGAGCAAAAGTGGAAAACGACTTGTGTATTCTCCACCTCCATGAGTTTTTGAAATGAAAAACCTACTCTCCAAAGGAAAATCAAATCTACCATTCAATGAACTTTGTTGCATGCTTGGAGTATGGCCCTTGTAAATTAAATTCCGTCATGCGCTCTCATTTGGTTTGAGTTTGTACAAAAGTACAGATTTTTTTACGCAAGAAGAGTGACTAGTGGACATGGGACTAAATATCTGGGTCAGGAAAGTGAGCTTACATGTATCAACGATGAAATGATCATTACTCACAATAAACTCACATACACCAACGACTAGAAATTAATTCTGGGCGCAGTTCACTAGCATTTTCTTGAATGATAATACATTTTTGTCAATGTTCTGAGAAGTCTCCTCTCTCTTTAGGAAGTGGTACCACTTGTAGAAACCTAGAGAGAGGGGCTCTTGTTGCACTAGTCTTGCAGTTCCATGTGTTAGCTATTGATCAGGATAATACTTTTTCACCAACCACATGGGGGTTGATAGTTTCCCATCAGAAATCCAAACAGAGAAAAAGAGAGAGAGCTTGAAAGATGGGGCCATCTAGATAGAACATATTGCTGTTTTACACACCACTAAATGGAACCTACAAGTTTTCTCTGCTGCAAAAAAGAAAGAAAGAAAAAGAAGGGGTTGGAGGGGAGCTATCAGTATCAGCTATATCTATAGAGACCCAACTTTGTGCTTTGGCTCCTACTTTAAAAAGCTCTTGTCAAATCCTAAAGTTAGTGAGCTGCAGAAGCATATTGAAATGAAAAATTGACAACTGAATGCGTAGTTTGTAAAACCTCCTTGTATGATGCATCATATTGCAAATAGTTTGTGCTTTGTAGCTTTGTGACTTGTTTTTACAGTCACACAGTTGCAAGCTCCTGTGAGGAACTTTTAGCTTTTCGTAAAATTAACCAGAAAATACCATGATATTTATGATGTGGCCAATAAAGCTTAGATTTTTGACATTCTTGCTTCTAGATTACAAAATTCAATAAGATCCATTTTTATTAGATCATTCAAAAAAACTTAGAAAAGTCCAACTAGTTATTTTTACTGCTCAGCAGAGTACCAATGGAGAGAGGGAGCTTGATCAACTGAGAAGAAATTGCAGGATTCTTCTGTGCTAAACAAACTTTGCTCTTCCATCCTCACAGGCTGAGTCTGGAACCCTTTACCAGCTACTGATCTAGAGTCTGATAATTGAAACCAGTTTACCATTGAATTTGAAGACAATGATGAATGGCCATTGTTATAGCCAAGAGAAGAATTTCCATTGCTCTCTTCCTTCATAACTCCATTTGAGTCACTATCTGATGATCCATCTTTGGATTTCAAATTCTTAAACAAATTCACCTCTGCATTGTCTCCATTGTCACTGAAATCTTGGTGTCTGCTTTGCTCCATGACACTGCTCTTGCACATTGAAATTGGTGATTCTTCTTTAGCTGAACCATTGCTTTCTGCACTATCTCTGCACAGCTTTGCTTTTAAGTGCCTTAGCTGCAATTGTCACAAAGAAACAGACTCAATTACAAAGGAGAAAAAAAAAGACCCCATCTAGAAAAAGATGCAAACAAAAAATGTTTCACCAATATGAACCTTTTCAGCCAGAGCTTTATTCTGCCTCTCAAGACTATCAAAGTTGAGCTTTAAGCCATCATAATCAGCTTTGAGAATGCCGTAGTCTCTCTCCAATTGCTTAGTCTTCCACCGGGCGCGGCGGTTTTGGAACCAAATAGCTACTTGTCTTGGTTGCAGGCCTAACTCCTCAGCTAATTTGGCCTTCCTCTCTGGCTCTAACTTGTTCTCAACCTCAAAGTTTCTCTCCAAGGCCTTGACCTGCTCTGAGCTTAAGCGCCTTTTCTTCCCTGTCATTTCTTCCCCACAGTCTTCTTGGTCTAAAGAATCTAACATTGCCTGAAACTCCTTGCTATAACCGTAGTTGTCCTTTCCATGCTTCTCCTCCTCTGCATTAACAAGTAGTGAAAGAAATTTGAGTCTCAGCTGAGGAACTAAACTAATCTTTGAGATATAAAAACCCATCAACAAAAATACCAAAACTTGACAAATACCAAGTTGGATTTGTTTTTTCTGTTTTGTTTACCTTTTGGTGGGAAATTGGACACCAACACACCCAATGAATCTGAGCTGCTGCTGAACCTCTTCATAATTCAAAAGAACACCCCCAAGAACCTTCAATGTATTTGCTTCAAATCTTTCTGAGATTTGTGCAAGCTCTCAAAGAGGGTTCAAAGGAAAGCTTTTGGGTTGAATTACCAAAGTGGGAAATGCTGTGAGACTATGCTACAAAACAGCTAGAGGTTCACTTGCCTTTAAATTGTAAAGACTATGGTTTGTAGCAGAAAACCAGACCCCTTCAAAGAAACAAAAAAAGTGCCAAGTACACCTCATAAACAAAAACCCTTTCTCCTACTTAATCATTATATAATCATCAACATATATATATCTAGCTAGAGTTAGAGAGAGAGAGGGAGAGAGAGCTTTACTGCAACTGGATGGAAGCAGCTCTCAACCACAGCTAGATTGCATTGCTTTACTACACTCTGCTGCAATATATACATTGAATTGATGTGAATGGTCTGATTTGACTCACAATTCTTTTTTCCTTTTTCACTTTTTTGGATGAAGGATACTGAGTCACGGTATGGGACTCAAAAAAGCTGGATTCACTTTGTTACATTTTTCTCTGCCCAAGTGGAGGCTGCATTCAACCATTTTTTTCACACCCTGCAAAGATTGCTTTTTTTCACTTTGACAAGAAAGGATTTTCTATTTTTGTCCTATGCTTCAAATTTTAGAACAATATTTGGCTCTCGTTTCTCACGTGTTAACATTTCCCTTTCTTTTTTGTTTTTTTTTCACAAAGGGAAGTTGGACTTTCAGTACATTAATTTTTGTTTTCAATTTGTAAAATAAGTAGAGATAACTTATATCACTTGATGATGTTAAACAATTGTCGTTAATAACAATTTAATTTGGTCCTACCACTTTTATTAATTCATGTCATACATCAACACGAGCAGAACGTTAATAAATTCTTGAGAGAAATCAAGCAATGTACAGCATTTCTCATCATACCACATTGATATCAAATCTTTGAACTTTAAACGACATTCATCTATACAAGTGAGTCTTACTTCTATTATAAATGTGATACAAACAATGACCCGAAAATTTAATCGTGCGAGTTGACCCACTAATTTTCATGTGGGTTTTAAGTCGTGTTGGAAATTGTCACCCTAGGACTCAAATTCGATATGGAATTTGAATGAATCATGTTCTATTTAGGGGTAAAGTTCATACTCCCGCATCTCTCACAGGTAATGTTCTTTTCACTCTCAAAACAGGACTAAAAGTACTGTTCTTGTTGTTCCTAAGCATCCTTGAAGCTCTTCTCTATATTCACAGCCATTGGCGGACCCAATGAAGGACTACTGTGGGTACTTGCCCACACTTACAGAAAAGTTGCAGATGTACAATCCCACCCAAACTCATATTTTTTAATTTTTTTAAGGTCCTTTTTAGGTGGAGCCCCCACATGGCCTATCAAATACGTACACTTTAAGCCCAAAGCTTATATTAAAAGGAAAAACCCTATGTTATAAAAGAATAATAGAGATCCCAGCAAGTGCACTCATTCTGTAATTTTGTGGAGAATTCAGCCACCAAGTTCACTTTAAGCCAAAATATTTTTTTTTTGGCTATACATCGTTTGGATTTTTTTTAAGCCCCCAGATGAACGAAAGTCTGGGTTCGCCACTGTTCACAACTAACCAGGAGTATCATAAGGTCATTAAAAGACGCAACAATGGTAGCACACACCCAATGCTCAAAATATTTCTACATTTAAGTGTAGGGATTAAAAAAAAAAATCTCATAAAATTAAGGACAAGCAAGGGACTTGTAGCTCATGTGGTTAAAAGTAGTTAATCCGAGATCTTGTGTTGTGTTCGAATTACCCATCCCTCAATATAGTTTAAAATAAAAATAAAAATAAAAATAATTAAGGCCAAACGACGGGGAGGGCAGCTATGACTTTCTCAAAATAGTTCCTCATACTTTTGCTGGCCATAGAGGCACCCATTTATAGCAAATGGAATCACATTCTATCTCTTAGTTTCAATGGATTTAGGTAGGAGTGTAGGTAGTTTTTTTTATTTTTTCACAGCTAAAATCAAAGGCTCAAATAGACCTCACCTTTCCCTTTAAGGAGTCTGGTTTTGTTTGCCTTGCAAGATTGGAGTTGCCCTAACATGCCAACAAGAAAGAACAGGTTACTTGTGGGACTCTATTTGTGTGACTCTACCACAGGTCTTGAGATGAAGGGCATTTGGTCTCCATGCCTCATGTCCACTTACCTAACTTTGCATATAACTTTGCCTTTTTTTTTTTCTTTTTTTTCGTACTTTTATCTTTCTCTTTCGGTGAACCCAAAGTTAATAGTGAGAAAGGAACATGAACCCTAGAGAGAAGCTAGCTTTTATTTGTATGCTCTCATACGTTCGTTTCAGAAAAGGGTAATTTATTGAAACGAAAGGGCATAGGATCATCGTACGGATGGTTTGAAAAGAAGGTTTGGATAAAGACTACAAAGGGTAGGCTAGGATTGAAATGTGCTTGCACTATTTTGAACTTCAATGTTGGATTTCAACATTTCACAATTTGTACATGCCACAGAGTCAAGTTAGCAAAACTCAATCTAGAATTTATATGAAGTCTGCCCTTATTGTGTTTTAAATATCTCTACTTTGCAAGAGGCTTGTAGCTCAAGTAGTTAAGAGCATTTACCTATGCTTGAGGTCCTAAGTTCGATTCTCCCCTCCTCAATATCACTTACATACAAATATATATATATATATCTCCACTCTATGTCCGACACGGAAGAACACTACATAACATCTGAAATGAAATTCTAAAAAAATATATAAAAAATTGAGCAATAAATCCACCTGATAATGTGTATGTATGTCAATGGGTCAGACAACAGTACACGAAAGAAGAATTTTAAATTTCACAATACAAGCTATAGTAATTTGTTAACTGCATTTGATTTTGTATTGTTTAAGTTACAAGCAGTGAAGACAGGGAACATAAATCGAAAGATAATCTTTGTTGGATCCTATTCTAAAGCAAATTGATAAAACTGGAGGATAAGATCATCCTAAAATTGATAACACTCTATCTCTTGCAGCTAAAGCTGCAATGTGTTTAATCAATCAATAGAGACAAAACTGGCGGATAAGATCATCCTATAATTTCTAGTGATACAAAATAAGGACAACAAAAATTTATGTTGCCCTTACCTAGTCTACATTTCCTCAATGTCAACCTCTTGTGTCAAAATTTGTATAAGCCAAACCTGTGTTGGGTGTACATTCGTATTTCCTAATCTTGGGGTGATGAAAATGGAGTGCAGCAGGAAGAGATATCGATTCCAGCAACCTCCATGGCATTGCAGACCCATTCAGGGACATCACCTTTCGGAAACTACAAGACAATAAGAATGTGAAGCATTTCAAAGCTAAGTTGTAGATACTGCACCAAGTCGCTCCTTAAAGAATCGAAAAGCTTACAAAGCAAACAACAGCAAAAAGGAAAGAAAGAATCATTTAAGGCACATATCTCTCTAATTTACGATGGCAGTCAAATTTGTTAGCGGCAGTGGTACCAGTTGCTAATGGCACAGCAGACAACTAGAAGATCTTACTAATGTAGTAATTTTTGATAAGAGGCAAATTTGTCAGTGGCCAAACATTTTTATTTTAAAGATGTAGCAGAAGACCAAAAGAGACTCTAATAGCATAATAGTTTTCTCCTTTTCCTTTAAGATCACTCATATGAACATTGCATTGTGTTAAAAGTTGGGTGCACTGTGGATATGCATGATTTAGATTGCAGTACTGTCCACCCAACCGCAACCATTTATTTCCCCCCCACCCCAGAGAGAGAGAAAGAGAGAGGTCACACAGCCATAATAGAACTTCAGACGCACAGAGAGAAAAGGAGGAAGGGCATCTAAAGGAAATACCATGGTTTGCAGAAATTCACGTACAAACCTGCAACAAGATTAACAAAATGTTACATGAGTAACAACCAGAACAAGTGAGAAAATCACTTGAAAAAGCAATGTCAACAGGATAAAGTCCCTACAGTTACCCATAATAACATGTTTTTCTGGAAAGAACTTCGTTAAAAAACAAAAATAATAACAGCATGTATATCACATAATCACACAAACAATACAAGACTAAGGTTGAGAAGGGTAAAGCAGAGGCAAACATACTCTGGAAACCTTCCCTTGATTATTGATGAGTGCAGATTTCTACTTAGCTGCATTTAAGGGGAAAAAAGAGAGATTTTTGGTTATATAATATATACGAAAACAATATAGGGAAAATAATTTAATAACTTTTGTGTTAGAACCTTCAACATGTAATACAAATTGTGATATGACAGAAGCTGAGATCCCATAGCATCTTTTGTAACCAGGCAATGAATGTAAGCTCTAGTATAATTTTTGCAGACCTGCATTTGAAGATAGAATGAAGCAGTTATACATCCTTGCACCACCTTATGCATTGATATTTCAAGCTAAAAATTAGTCCATTTATACGTACAATACAATCACATGTAGGATCAATGGGACGGGTATCATCAGCCATCGCTTTGTGTTTGAGTTTGAGCACTCCCTGAAATATATAAACATCACACCGAAAATGAGAGGGAATCTTTTTCCTCTGGTTGAATTATGCATCCACATGTAAAAAGAATATTGGGACCCCTTTTTATAAAAACCGTATGAAGGCACCCAATAAAAGTGCAACTGCACTGGCTATATCCACATAAATATTGCACGACAGTAGGCGCATCCAAACATGAAACATCAACTGGAAAATTTGAAGAAACCCCAACTCATTTCAAGTATGAGCACTATGAAGAAAAGAGATGATTGAGAAGCTATGAAAAGAAACAACCGTATTTGTGACATTCGTATATCAACAAATTTAATGAGGACAACTAGCTTAGCAGCTGATAGAAGAAGCAAGCCCAAAATTTGTATCTGATAATAAATTATTCCCCCCATTCAAATTAAAAAAGACACAAGAGTGATAAATGAAGTTCAAAGTTCAAACAAATAACCTGATCAAATAACACAATTAATTGCAAACTGTTTTGGAACTTACAGAGGTGCCAAGTTGAATACTAAAGAAGGACATGAGGCTTTATCAGAAATCTAATTTTATCATTCAAGCGTTCAAATATAGGACTTGATGCAAGAAAAGTGATTTCAAATTGATTACTCCAAGTGATAACTATACAAGAAACCCTCTTTTGAAATGGGATTAATTTAGTAACTTTGAGGCAGTGTCAGAAAATTTGGCCACTACATGTGTATTTCTAATGCATATGTATATAACCATTCATATAAAAATCTTTAGTACACAGTAGTTCACACAAAAAGAAATGATAAATACATACACGCAGAGAGGGACTCTCGTAAGCAACTAAAAAAAATAAACAATCATTCAAATGTTTTCATCCTAACGAAAGTAGTGTTACAATCATAGATGTAATGATTCAAGATTAGCTGCTTGAGATGCTAACCAATGGCCTGCATACATAGATATATTCAATAAAGATGTAAAAGTGTCGATCACATTGTTGAAGTCATCACCTCGGGTACAAGAGCT